ACCTTTCTCTATTTTCTCAGTTAATGTGTGCAGCAGTGCTAAGCCCTGTTAGCGTATTTATTACGCGTTAACATAAAAGGCGTAGTATCATCATACAACTGCAAGTTTAAAGGTTTGTTAGAACACCCACAAAAAAGTTCTAAGTATACATATATATGTAATGACAGATGGTTGATAACGAGGGATAGGTGAAGCCAATGAGGGCGGGGCTGACAAACACACAGGAGGGGACACCACCACTACCACCATAAATGCATCGATCTCTTTCCGTTCAGAAGGTATTTCACACAGGGTAGCAGTGGGATGGAGGAGGGAGGCCCTGGCACAACAGTGGGGAGAATGTCACAGTAAGACAAACGGGTGCAGCTGAAGTGGCTTTGGGCTCAGCTCCTACTGATGTGACACAAGTATCCTGGCCATGATTTGTACCCACCGAAGCTCTCTGTGTGGAGTGGCTCCCACACACTCGCCTTACATCCCAAGATATACAGCATTTGTCTCCTGAGTGCTTTTGTAACCCTGTGCTATGCTTAGCCAGGGATTGGATACTATACTGGATCAGGGCGAAGATGCTTATGGTAGCAAGTTCAAAAAGTATATTTGGTTCTTTTTTTACAATATCTATTATACCTTCTGAATTGCTCATGCATATATGAGCCAAAATTTGTGCCCGGGACTTGCTAAAAGGTTTTTTTTCCAGAAAGGTGTAGTTTTGCAGGACCCAGCAGTGCAAGTTTCAGCGTGTGCTCTGAGTTCATTATCCTGTCTCCCATCTGGGTAAAAACACCTACACACAGAAAAAAGGTTCTTAAATGGTTAAAACAAATGTATATTCTTTATATATTATATTAAGTACAATAAAAACTGTAATTTAAACAAACCAGCATTTAATGTGCAACTAAGCGTATCAAAAAGTTTTGATCTGTAAACATTACAAACTTCCAGAATACAGCTTTAAAAGTTTCAAATGTCAGGAACCACTAAGGCCAACACCGACCTCCTGAGCAGCAACAGCGATGGAAAGCCCTTGGGTGAGTACAGTACAGACGTTTTGTAGCGGATGGACAAACAATGATGGTGAACACCAAAGATGTAGACATGTCATTGGCCATAAGTTGTGTTGGTGCTCTATCATGCGTTTAATCTTGCATACCCTTGTCACCTGAAAAACATTTTCATTTTTAGAGGCCTTTATCCTGAAGACGGACAAACGGGTACCTGCAGCAGTGCAGAGTGGCAAATGCTCTGAATATTTCTTGTTGCATGTAGCACCCGGATTACAATGTATATCATTGATCAATGACAAAGTTAGGGGTTGTACATCTAGATGATTTAATAGATCCTCAAATAAAAATTATTGGGAATCCTGATTCTATTGTTATCCTTTGTAAATGTACACCTTTTTCACATTTCACAAAATTGGTTACTCAAAGAACCATTTATTCCTTGGAAGAACAAGGCTAAAGAACCACTTGGAAAGGGTTCTAGGCAGATTTTGTAGATTTAGAAAAAACGCTGTACCACCTTCCCCCATTACCCTGTGTGACTCCCCCGTCACCACTGTGGATTCCTTCCATTTTCTGGGCTCCATTATCACCCAGGACCTCAAGTGGGAGCTGAACATCAGCTCCATCACAAAGAAGGCTCAGCAGAGGTTGTTCTTCCGGAGGCAGGTGAAGAAATTAAACCTGTCAATGACGAAGATGGTGCACTCTACAAGGCCATCCCCAAGTCCATCCTCTGCTCCTCCATCACCGTTTGGTCTGCTGCAGCCACAGCCAAGGACAAGGGACGGCAGCGTGTCATCCACTCTGCAGAGAGGGTGATCTGCACACAGTGAGAGGGAGTTTCAATCTGCCGTTTCTCCAGGACTTCTTCGCTTCCAGGACCCTGAAGCGAGCTAAAAAGATTGTGGCCAAACCCCGCTCACCCCGGACATAATCTGTTCATCTAGCCGGAGGCTGAGGTCAATCAGGACTAGGACCTCGGACAGTCGGGCTCATCAACAGAGCCCGGGTCCCCCACTGACTTATTTTGACATCCCTCTCCACCGGTGACTCCCTTCACACTCCACATATACAAACACTTGTTCACTTTAACTTTTTAAACTTTTATTTTTTTATTTAAATTCCTCTGACACTATGTTGTCTTGCACTATGTTGTCATATATGTCTCGTTGTCCATTTTCTGATGTTATGCACCAACCGCCAAGTTAAATTCCTTGTACGTCTAAAATATTTTGGTAATGAATGTTCCACATATTTATTTTTCTTCCACATTTGGCTTTGCAATGATGAGGATATTCAGCTATCCCGTGCAAGTTTCCCCACGTCCTTCAACTGCCTCAGCTCCATCAAGAACTGCTTCACGCAGTGGAACGACGAACTGTAACATTCCTGCTGGATAGACCCCTCAAACTAAGCATTTCCCCTTGTTTGAAGTTTGCGGTGTTAAAAATTGTTTGATAAACATTAAAATAGTTGCATTTGGTTTCAACATTCAGTTCTTTTGTGTGATTGTTTTTTGAATGGGTAAAAATAGAGGTCTGGTAAGATTTTCCCTCAAAAGCCCGAAAATGTTGTATTTTAATGCATTGAACACTGTTCAGTAATATACAAGTCAAATGTATAGTTTGGTACATGAGAAAATTCAAAATGTGACCAAATTGCTATTTTGGAAATCTTGCTTGGACTCTCTGTACTAAAGCCTCTCTAGATTTATTCTGCTGCACAATTCATCAAAGTAAAATTTGGCTAGTGTTGTGCCGGTTCAATGGGTAAAACAATTAGTATTAATAATTAATAGTTACGCAAATATGTGTGAGATTACAAGAGCGAGTGTGTCATAAAATGCATCTAAGCAAGGTTTTCATTTATTCTTCGGGTATCTTTTTATATCTTTTTATATTATATGAATCACTATGACCATCATTATCATGATTTTCCATTTTATTGGGGCCTGAGTGACTACAAAATGTTTGAACTCATAATAGTCAGTCTACCTCTTTGAGAAATTTTTATGGTTATTCCTTATTCCTTAATTCCTTATTCCTTAAACCTACTCTTGCTGCAGAGTTGTTGGCTATAACTATAGACCTATATAGGTCTATAGTCTCTCTCATCTTCCCTTCCTCTCTAAGATCCCTGATGAATCCGTCGCAAATCAATTACGTGAATTTCTACAAAACAATGATTTGTTCGAGGATTTCCAGTAAGGATGTCGAGGTTATCATAGCACAAAAACAGCAATGGTGAAAATTACAAATGATCTTCTACTTGCATCAAATCAAGGATCATCTCTTTTCTTGGCTTGCAGGACCTCAGTGCCGCATTTGATACCATAGATCATTGTATCCTGTTGCAGAGACTAGAACATTTGATTGGTATCAAAGAAACTGCACTCAGCTGGTTTAAATCCTACTTATCGGATCGATCCCAGCTTGTGCTTGTAAACGGTGAATCCCCGAAGACCACCAATGTTGGTCAAGGAGTCCCACAAGGTTCTGTACTTGGACCGATTTTATTCTATTTTTATTATATATATATATATTTTTTTTTTTATAGAATTATATATATTTTTATTTTATATGCTTCCTTTGGATGACATTATCAAAAAACACTACATTCCATTGTTATGCAGACAATACGCAACTGTATCTGTCAAGCCAGAAGAGACCAACCAGCTTGTTAGACTTGAAGAATGTCTTGTCCAGAGACATCAGAACTTCCTGATGCTAAACTAAAAAAAAAAGAGTCATCTTGATAGGCCCAGAGCGCCTTTGAGGTCAGCTATCATGTGATACGTTTCTATGAATGTAATTGCTCTAGTATCCCGCAGCACCGTCAAGAATCTTGTTCTCTTTGACCAGGACTTTTTTCATCTGCGTATTATGTTAAAAATCAGGAACGTCCTGTCTCAAAGCGATGCAGAACAATTTGTTCATGTGTTTGTTACTTCTAGACTGGAGTCCTGTAATTATTTGTTATCAGGCTGCTCTTGTAATCTCTCAAGACTCTCTAGTTGTTTCAGAATGCTGCAGCACATGTATTAACAAGAACTAAGAAATGGGATCATATTACTCCTCTTTTGTTGAACCAGCTTCCACTTTCAGTCCGGGGGCAGATTCGGTCAGTTCTTTTAAGGTAAAGCTTAAAACTTTCCTCTTTGATTTTGCTTATAGTTAGGGCTGGCTCAGGTTAGCCCAGACCAGCCCTTAGTTAAGCTGTTATAGGCTTAGCCTGCCGGGGGACTTCTTAGGACACACAAAGCGCCTCTCTCTCTCTTTCTACAATAATCCGCGATTTATTAATGCACATGACTAATTCAGCTTCTTTCTGGGAGTTTTTTGTGTGCTTTCTCCCGTAGCAGGTCTCCGTAGATCGTAGTTCCTTCTGGACCCTGGTCCTGACACCTGCCGTGGCCCTGCTGACACCTGCTGTTGCTATCATCATCATTATTATTAGCGCTTCTGTGGATGGTGGTTCTATCTGATGGTGGTTGTCCCTGCAGTGATCCTGCCTAATTTCTGTCATAGGAATTTAATGTATTTTACCTGTGGGTTTAGGGACAGAGAATGTTGCATGTGTACAGACTGTAGAGCCCTTCGAAGCAAATTTTTGGGCTATACACAATAAAATTAATTGAATTATGCTTTGCTCCTCGTGCTCAGACTGGAAGTCTGGAATTGATTCGGCACCAAACTGTGTTGCTGCTAACCGAGCCGGTTCTCGTTGTGTAGGGCGGCAACTCTGAAACATGCGTGTACCCCGGGCATGCATTGTCTCTACCAGATGGTCCTAATTGCTAAAAGTTTTACTGGACTCCAACATGGAGCTGTTGCTTAAAGAGAACTACCGAGCTCTCAAACAGACTCTGTTCCATCTGTGTGCACATCTGCATACAAACTAGATTCCAATGGTGAAGTCATCCAAAAGGATGGGATGGAGTCACAGTATGTGGATTCATTTTGGATCACCACTGCCACAACCAGCGCTATGTAGTTTGTCTGTGTTTTCTGTGACTCTGTTTTGTCGTTTCAGGCAGCTCCCCCTCACTGTGTGTGGTTACAAGCTCCTCCCTGATTGTCTCCACCCGGGTCTCGTTGCTTGCCCTGCCTAGCGTATTTAGTCTGTGTCAATCCCTCGTTCTGTGCCAGTTTGTCGCGCCGTCGTGTCTTGACCCGTTCCCGTGTACCTGTAAGTTTTGCCTTCAGATTTGGATACCTTTGCGACTGATTACCTGTGTACCGAACTCTCTTCAGTAACGACCATTCTTCACCCGACGACATGTTGCCTGTGTCTGCTTTTGAGTCCTGCCCCTGTGGTTGCCAGTGGCCTAACATATTCAAGTTTAGCTAGCTTGCGCTCCTAATTTACACACAAGTTATGCAAATTTAGTTATGTTGAATAGCCAGTCAACCCGCCGTCTTGTATACATCATGCAACGCGCGTCCAGCTCTCCTGCTTGAAAACATCTGTTTGCGCTGTTGCATCTTTCTCTGAGGCGTTATTCCCAAAAACGCGTGCTGCTCTGTTGAGGTACTGGACCATCACAATTACGTGCGCTCCATCTACACACTGCAGTGTGTTGTCCATCGTTCGGAAACTTGTTAAATAATTTGATTCATATGGACAAAGATCCAATCAAGTTGAAATAAGTGATAAAGGAACACAAGTATACATAAAATGAAATTGTTTTTTCTGAAATGAAGTTATCTGTGTAGGTGTTTACGCAAACTACATTTTTCGGTTAAATTGTTTAAACCTAGAAATGCCAAAAGGGGTTCATCACCCTTTTAAACACCCTAGTGTCACTTCTCATTTTATTATCTAAATACCTGTCATCGTTCTTTCACCGCATCCCCGTTGGCATCGTCTCGTTTTCTCTGTTCATTTAATTGTAATGAAGCTCGCCCTCTCTCTCTCCCATCCTTTTCTATCTGGAAGTGATTTGTGTGTCTAAACGAAAAGGGAGGGATGGTCGCGTGAGGCTCTACTAACCTCACGTTGAACATAATTAATAAAAAGCAGCCTGTTCCAATTTAAGAGGTTGATTAATGCAACAGATACATCACAGCGTGGAGTGGACCATCTCTCTCTTTTTCTCCAGTCATGACAGAAGGGAGATGGATAACAGCATAATTAAGTTATGCTAGAATATGCTTACAACAAATTTCTGGACACAATGTTTTGGGGATTTTCTCAACCAACGTCTTTTGGTTGCCATGCTATCGCCAATGAAAGGAATTGATGACTTTTTTTCTAATCCAATAACCTGAAATGGTATTTGTAATGGTAATTAGAAATGGTATTACTAAAATATTTTAATACTAATTGTATTATATTACTGAATAATACTATGAAAACTAGGAAAACACAAGTCTTTGAATATATATGTACCACATAACATTCACCAAAACTACAAATACATTTCAAAGGGCATTGCCTGTCATTTTCAATTTCCGTAAAAGATTTTGGCTTCCAAGATTTTGTTACAGGCATATTCTGCCATAACCTAATAATGTTGTACCCTTTTTATATTATATAATGACCAGAGGAAGTGAGCGAAAGAAAGCTGGTCTACTCCAGTGGTTCCAAAACTGGGGTGGGGCAACAAGGGGGTCGTGGCTTCATCACTACGAAAAAAAAGAGAGATAGGGAAAGGGAGAGAGGGAGATCGTGAGACATTCAGCATTAAAAAGACAGCAAAAATGCATGGTTTTAAGTTTTTGCAGTGTTTAAATTTTAATATTTGAAGAAAATGTACTTAAATATGTTTACAAAATGTACTTAAATATGTTTACAAAATAAACAGCAGTAGCAGTAGTATCAGCAAAATAAACAATATAATAACAGCTAAGTGGAAAAAGTGACTTGTAATTATTTTATAAAAACTAGGGCTGTCAAAATTAACCTGTTAATCTATGCGGATATCGTGGCCTGAGATTAATGCAATAAAATATTTTAACACAATTAAAACGGACCACTTCAGGACTGATAGTGCCCTTGCAACCACCAACATGTACTACAATGTCCCTATATCCTCAAAGGAGGCCCGGACAGAAAAGGTTTGGGAGCTGTGAGATGCATGTAATGGTAAAATATGTGGTAACCTATGGTCTACTGATGCTTTCCTGTATTGATTGCAAATTGGAAGAAGCTGCTTTTATCAATAAATAATAATGTTCAACAAGATCTTCGGGTAGAGCTTCTCCAAATCATCCCTGCTTCCTAACGTTAATAACAAAATATGATTCTTTCTAAACATAACTAAGAAACCAATTTAGTTATGTTGGAATATTATCATTTAGGGCAGGGGTGCCCACAGTTTTCAGGCTCGCAAGCTACTTTTCGGGGAACCGACGGTAAGTAGTAGCAGTGACCAGCAACAGCCCTGCCGTCAGCGTGAAACGTGTCGATATGAAGAAGACAACGAGCGTCTCTGTCAGGAGGAAATTGTCACAAGCATCCGGCACGTTCTTGGTCATTACCTTACTGGAGTCAGCCTGGGTTGCTTTGGAGTACAATTTAAATGTGTCTGTTAATAAGCAAGGATCGCTAATTAGCATTAGTTTCTCCCGCGGTAGGCCGCGCACACGATCAACTGGTACCGCCTTCGATCGCAATCAACCTATAGGGCACACCTGATTTAGAGTCTCGGATGTTCGTCGTTTGAATTCTTTTTTTCTTTTAAAACCAAAACATTCAACTGATCTTCTAAATAAGTATTGACTGAATGGCCAAAGCGTATTGCTTATTCTTTTTTACCATAGAAGGGGGGAGAAAGCATTCCAAATCTATAACGCTTTGCTTGTTTCAGTCTTCTCACAGATCTTTTCACAGACTTGATTCTTATTTTGTTATTTCTTTGTGTTGCCTGAAATAAATGTAATTACATGTCATTACTTCAAAGTCAAAATGCATATTGAGTCTATCAAGGTAAGTCAGTCAGCCAATATTCTTATCTTTAACCTTACTAGTGTCAGTCCTCCTGCTTTCACCCAATGAACCCATCCAAAGAAAAAAATATCACTAAAATGACGTTCAGCATAATCTGCAATGGGTATTTGTTTTCAGAACAACATACTGTGGAACAAATGGGCCGTCGGCCCAGTGGCACTTTTTTTGGACTATCAGTGTTTATGAATAATGGGCCACATTCCCCTACAAAGAATACTCTAACTGGTAATGTCCTTTTTGTGTGTAGCGCACAATGGTTGAAATCTGTTTTTTAGCATTGTCCTTTTGTGTTCGTTCGTTCATTCAGATTTTAGATCATTAAAAAATCCTCTGATTCAAAAGCCAGATAGAAGTGATCACCTGAAACAAGTGTAACTAATATTTAATACTAGTAAGTCTGCCTTTACAAACACTATCACTGCACCACAAATTTTAAAATAAAAATCTACTAATCCATTAAAAACAGTTCTTCGTCAGAACTATTAATGTTTCTAAATAGATTCATGCAAGACTATTTTTTTTTGTATTATAACAACATGGATGCTCCAAATAAATGGAAAGAAAAACTTGTAACTGGTCGATCCTTTTTTAATTTTGCAAGGAACCCCGCGGCTCTCCAAGTAGCCCTGGTGGTCCCTGGACCTGACTTTGAAAAAACACCATTTTCAAGCAGTGAAACCAGTGAAGTACAGTAATGGAGCGTAGTGGCCTGAAGTGTAGCTATGAAGTCCTCCCTAATGACTCTAGCACATGTGTGTCTGGCTTTCAGCCCTCTCATTAACGTCACTGGACACTGTATACTCTGAGTGAGTGTGTGTGTGTGTGTGTGTGTGTGTGTGTGTGGGTGCGTGTGTGTGTTGTGTGTGTGTGTGTGTGTGTGTGTGTGTGTGTGTGTGTGTGTGTGTGTGTGTGTGTGTGCGTCGCCGCTGTGTGCCAATTTAGAAGGGCTTAGAGTGCTCCGGTGATCTCATCTCCTCTTAAGTTTGCTCACCCTGTGTGTGTGTGTGTGTGCGAGAGAGTGTGTGTGTGTGTGTGTGTGTGTGTGTGTGTGTGTGTGTGTGTGTGTGTGTGTGTGTGTGTGTGTGTGTTTATGGGAACCCACGCCCACGCAACTTACTTCTACTACATGTAGAAGAGTACACTTCCTGCACAGGTGAAGGATGTTGTCCATTCTCCTGAAACTGGATAGATCAAATCTGTGCCCCCTCCATTTACAGAAGATGGCCTCTTTTTTTCTTTTTTGTTTGCTAAATGTATCTATTTGATATGTTTTGTTCTTGCTTCAGTTACAAATGTCGCATCTCTGGTTTATGAGCGAGACCTGCATGTGTGTGTGTGTGTGTGTGGTAAACAGGGTGGTTTGCTCTGTGGGAGAAGGAATTTCCCCCAGTCCCCATCAGTAATAGTGCCTGTAATGAGCTGCAGCTGTCAGCGTGGTTTCCGCACACACACACACACACACACACACACACACACACACACACACACAGTGAGGAGGAAGCAGTGACTCACCCAGCGGCGCGCCGTCAAACTGTACGCTGATAAACAGTGTAACTCATCAGACGTGAGACGCAAACATTTTCCAAAGAAATACCTGCTCCTTCTAAAAATATCAGAGCTGGTAAAATTACTCGGTTTAAGACTATATGCTTAACTAAAAACGCTGTGCTTCTCAAATGATAAATGCAGTATTATTATCCTGATCTGCCTGTCTCACTTTTGTTTGTGTTTGTGTGATGTATTTAAAAAAGACATTTCTGAGTATTTAGTTAAAGACATTTTTCCTTTAGTCTTCAGTCAAATTACACTAGCAGACGACCCTTTGGGCTGCTCAGCTTGATGGTTGCAGAAAGGCAGAGGGCCGATGTGTGTGTATGTATTTCTCATTTGTCTCTAAAAGCACGATGCAGATGACATTTAATTCACATGCGTGTTTAGTTATTCATGCAAAACGTACTAGGTTTCCTTTTTTGTGTATTAATAATTTGTCCTCGTCCTTTTAGTACTTTGTGACCCAATGCGAAAAAGGAGTAGGCCTAAGTAACTTCAACAAAGACAGAAGATCATTCAATATTTGAATGAAAAAACATTATTTGAGCGGAAAGAAAGAAGAAAAAAAAATCTTTTCATTAGTTTTCCATAAACATCAATGGGGCATGTTGACGTGAGGAGGCCTTTCCAATAAAACCCAAGAGTCAACAGTAACATTTGACTATTTTCACACATTTTAAACCTGTCTCTGCACTTTTTGGTAATAACCATATCGGAAAAGACAATGACATATTGCATGTCTTTTCCCAATGACGGTATTCATTTTGTCTCTTGAACCAATAACATTTAACTTTTTGGTATGTTATCATAGAATCTACATATGTGAAATGTGGGGTTAAAGTGAATACACATGCATCTCTTGATTCAGGCAATGCCAATGAGGCATCGGTGGGGACTACTGGCCATTCAAGTTCTTTGGCACTAACCCACCAGGCGTCATTTTGCAAATTTGACAATTTCCACTAAAACCCCCCCAAAAAACCCACAATTCGCACAGTTAAGAGATCAAATAACTTAAGGACCTCATACAGAGCAGCTGAGCCACGGCTTCGCGTTTCGACTGTGTTGCACCTTGTGACCTCTGCCAATTTTTTAATTTTTATCTCATATCACTCCAACTTTGTAGATCAGACTTTAATTTTGAAGCATAGCCTGCAGGACAGTGATGAATAGGCTACATCAAGGAGGGCTTAAATTACCCCTCTCCCTGGTGGCAACACTGACCGCAAAGCGAGGTGTGTGTGCACGTGTGAGCGTGCATGTCTGTGTGTGAGGTGACCTAGTAACAGCAGACAGAGAAAGAAAGAGGGCCGGTCAGCACTTGCCCTTTTAACCCTGCCAGCTCTGCAGCACACCCAACGAGCTAGGAGAGAGGGGAGGATTGGCGGAGGACTGGGGGAGGACACTGGGGACACAGTGAGAGAGAGAGAGGGACAGAAAGAAAGACAGACATACACAGAGAGAGAGAGAGAGAAAGAGAGAGAGGGAGAGAGAGAGAGAGGATCCACTCAATCTCTTTCAGCTTCTCTTGTCAGTGTGTTGTGTTGTTCTTTGGTGCATGTTGTAACTTTTCAGGTTATTTGAGGAGAGTCCAACCCTGACCTCCTTTTTTCTATCTTTCCTTTTTTCTCTCACTCCATGCAAATAGGTTCTTATTTTTGTTTTTTATGTTGGGAGAAGACCACTGAGATATGGACAAAGCCTTAATACTACATAATAAAGAAGTCGGTCTCAGATTGAGGTGGGAAAAGGCTGGAGGGTTGTAGCCAACAGCCAAAGGCACGGCCTTAGGCTGAGAGGAAGAAAATCCCAAAACAGGGTGATGAAAAGCAGGTTTCTGTGAAGAGAAAAATCAAAACAACTTTTAAACCCAAAGGAGTTTAAAGGATTATTGTGGATTTCTCCTCTCAGCCTAATTTATATATATTGTGTTTCCTATATTTCATTGACAATTTAGTTCATGCCAGAATTTATTTAGACTCAGAAGGACAAACTCCTTTATTTTGCATTTCTCCTGATAAAAAATTGACATTTTTAGATGCATTAGTAAACCATTTGTACTTTATCAGCAATCACACATCAGCTAATGTTACACTTTGTCTACAGTGAGAGCGGATGACACTAATTCTGAGCTTATAAAAAAATAATCCTACGTTTTTTTGAAAGCTGCTCTACGCACAATTTCAAATCTTGCAACTGATAAAACAAATTTAAAAAGCCAAATTTATCGTGTTATTTTTACAAGAATAGTGTACAAGAAAAAAAAAATATATATACATAATTCCCACAATACATTGATTAGATTAAGTGTGTGTCGCAGATCACCCAAAAAAAATCTTAAAAATATGTAATATTCTTGTGCGCTTTTACGCTCCTTTGATCTTTGTGACTTCACTCTGAGTCAACTTCATCTCGGCTGCTTAATATGAACAACTTAAAATACTAAAAACTGACAGAACTGAGTTTGGACTCACCCAGTCCAGCAGGAGTGCCAACATCCGTGCCCTGCCGTGCGTCCGTGCGTCCGGGCAGCGGCGTTTTGGAATGCTCCGACTCGTGCGTAACGACTGCAGTGGCCCGAAGGCAGAGACGAGGTCCGGATTCCCTCAACAAGGCACTCCCGGCGCACACAACCACAGGTACACACAAACACACCTGGATACTGAGGGAACACCGTCGTGCATTACTGACCTTCATGGGTGAAACACAGATTCCACACATAAACACCCACACACATTTTCGGTGCGTGCGTAAACTCACACTGTTGGAACGTTTTAACAATTTTACAATTGTTCATGATTAACTTCCTCACCTCCCGCCCCCCTCCTCCCCCCGTCCCACGCGGGCATTCACGCGGTTATTCCTTAACAGGGTCCGCGTCCTGTATACTTCCAGTGAACTCGAATATGTCACCGCAGATTTGTTTTCTCCATATGATGTTTCCAAAGGGAAGAAGTAAATCTCTTCATATTGTCAGAGGCACTTAAAAATGACCCAGCTGCGATCAACCATGGCCAAAATAGTACAATTATAGTTTAATACCAGCGAGGACGAAGTGACATCGTGATATCGACCAATAAAAAAGGCCCCCCGACGAGAGCGAACAGCATCTGAATTGTGTTAATGTTTTTGTAATGCAGATCCTTTCCTTTTTCTTTTTTTAGGAAACTAATTAAACGGTGTTAATGTGCTCAAATAACACTCATGAGTCTTGCGTGTTGAGCGTGAATAACATATTTGCACCATATAAATAAAAGTGCGTTCTCTTTTACAATATTCTGAAAAGAAAAGAAAATGTATATATTTATTTATACGAGGGAACGATCAAGTCGGGTTACTCGCGCAGAATTAGAACCATCCTGACAAACTTCGACGTTTCCTCCGTCATGCTTTAAAACACTGAACAATATTTAGTGGCAACGCGCTTTGTTTCTTCATTAGTGCGTGCGGGCACAATGCGGCGTTCAATGCGTGGCTTTCACAACATTTAAGTGTCACACACACACCACACATGCATGTGTGTGTTTATATACTGCATCTATAATCACGTGTTAATGATTTTAAAAACACTTTAATTCAGTCAGAAGTATTTTTAACGTTTATATAAATGTTATGACATTGTTTTGGGCTCATATAGGAACTGGTGTTGGAAGTGAAAATAATAACCGCGCAAGAAAGGTACACTGATTGCTTTTGGCATCACAGAAAGTCCTCGCTGGCTCGATTACATTAGGCTACCGAAGTCATAATGCCAACACCGTGTTTTGTTGCAGGTCGCATTACTGCAACCGTCCCAAAAGCAGTTGGGTGTTGTGATTTTATTTCACACACGGATGTTTGAAAGGGAATACAACCGCTGCCCCAAAAGCATTGAAACAAACCCCAACGTACACATCTGGCACATCCGGAACTGTTTCTCTTGTGTTTCTCTCTAATTCGTTTTACCCTGGTATACATCTCTATCAGAGTGAAGCTACGGCGTTAAACTGTTAGGAAGTCTACGACTTTGAGGAGGACAAGGAATTCATTCTGTCATAAAAAGCTTTGATTATGGGTGGTAGGCGTGTGAATGGAAGTCTTTCTGCCCCCCCCCCCCCCCCCCGCAACACCATATTTAATAAACAATAACACTTGCACTACAATTTAGGAGAGCAAATGTATCCCTTAAAGCGAGCTCGCGCGAAGGGCTTTTAAGAAAGTGGGCTGTGTCAATCAGACAGGGAGAACGCGCGCGCGCGTGCATTTGCGCGTGTGAATTAGCGTTATGTGTGAGTGCACACCGCCGGGATGGGAGGGGGTGAGGCATCGCGAGGAACGTGCGCTCAGCAGCTGTGTGCGTGTGCGTGTGTGTGTGTGACACTGATGGATGCGCCAATGGAAAGACGGACAGATGCTTGGGCGGATCCAACGGCACGCAGTGGCGGAGCGGCGCACACAGTCGGTTAGATTAGGGCGAAAACATCCTCGGATCGGCACACCGAAGTCACCGAATCAACAAATCCTTCACCCAGGCGCCGCGAGCGGGGGAGAGAACGGACGGACTCCCCCGCTGATTTATCGGAGGAGCGGCGCGCACGGAGAGAGGCTGCGGATCCGACGAGGAGAGCCGTTTCTCCGGCAATTTGTGAGCGCGAGAGGCGGCGGCACATCTGGCGCAGAGAGAGAGAGAGACAGACAGACAGAACGACTCACCCTGCGTCGCAGTACCTCGTCCTTCAACTCCCATCTCCAACAACCCGTCCACTCTTTGGTCTTCACATCGAGAGTTTGTTTGAAAAACCAAAGGAGAATATCTTTCTTTTCCTCCATTTCACCCTTTTACTAAACTCAGTTGAATGCCCGAAACTTTTTATTTCTCTCTGCGAGAGAGATTTAGAGAGAGAAATATCACCGCCTTCTCCAACAAAAATTTGAATACGCTTTATCTGAAGGATTCTGCTCTTACCTGTGAAGAAAAGCCAAAAATACTTTATTCCATTTAGTGCGGAATAAAAGGGACCGCACTTTTTGGAGAGGTTTTTTTTTTCTCGCCTTTCTGGTCACGAGATGGAGAGCGTGTAGGGGGGGAGACACGTCTGATTCACCGCGTGGCTGATTTAAATAGCTCCTATCGGGCACGCGAAGGGAGGAAGAGGAAATAGAAGAAGAGAAACAAAGTGTTTGTCTGCAGCTCGTGGTGATCGGCGGCTCCAGCGCGAGCCCGTCCCCTCCTCCTCCTCCTCCTCCTCCTCCTCATGTACATTATTACAACAAGGGAGACCAATCAAGCGCGTATCTCATCGATTCAGTCACACACACACACACGCGCGCGCGCGCGCGCAGTTGCAGCGTCGCGCGGCGCACACGCGCCCACACACACTGACGTTGTGACTTGCCCCTCCGTGGATTTTTTTTTTCTCCTCCAAACTAAGAAACGTCGAAGCTCCGCGCGAGGCAGCAGGACAGCGTGTTAGGTGACCAGAACCCGGCCGTCACCTCCACTTCCTCCTCCTCCTCCTCCTGCGAATTTCTCCGCTCCAGAGAAAAACAAACTGAAAGAAAAAGCTGCGTGTGTTTAAAAAAAAAAAATGTGTGTCCCCTTCTCAGAAGCAACGGGACTTACGCGAGTCGGGTGGATGTGTATGAGATGGGTTCGGGCACGTTTCGGCTGCTCCGCCGCCTCCTGGCTTTGAATTTCGCGTAAATTGCCGTGAGGCAAAAAAACAAGAAGATAAGAAAAGCGGTGCGACCTCATGGGTCGGATCAAGGACCACCCCGTACAGTAAGTATCCATTTCCGCCCAGATCACGCTGCCAGGCGTGCCCGCGTGCTTGTGAACCACACTGTACATATATTTGTGTATTTATTTATGTGCGTTTGTGTTTGGGCTCCCGTGCGTCCGCACAGTTTGCCCCGGCGCTCTTTAGATCAATCTGCATTACGATTGACGCACATTTCAAAAGCATAATAAAGCACAGAGTTTTTGAGGAGGTAGAGGGGGGGGGGGGGGGGCAGTGAATGACAGAGAGACAGAGGGGAAAGAGAGTCAGAGAGAGAGAGAGAGAGAGAGAGAGGGAGGGAAAGGGGTGAGATAGACAAGGAGCGACGTGACGCCGATCAGCGGCGGAGAGGTTGGACCGCAGAAGGAGGCGCAGGCTTCACTTGTGGCAGCTCTTTGATTTGACGCCGTCCCCTTGTTTGGCGGACTTTTCTTGTTTCTTCTTTTTGACTGACGCGATCGTTTTGGTTTTTCTCCCCCCCCCCTCTCCCCCCTTCAAGCTTCGAGCCTGTTGCAGCCTCCGACGCCAAGTAGACGGGATCGCACGGAGACACGAGGCGCTTTCTTTAAGAGAATTAACAAAAAAAAACCTTCAATTTTTTTTTTACGGAGAAGTCCCCCCCCCACTCGCCCCCCTTCCCTCTGTTCCTGCTCTCCTCCGCCTCCATCCAAGTCGCGGCGTGGAGCGGGTCAGGAGAGCGACCGACGGAGAGGAGCCGCCAACCGGAGGAGTCAGCGCTAAATACCCACCGATCTCTATTTTGATTCTTTTTTTAAAATTACTTTTCTTTTTATAACAAACCTGCACACCACCCTCCTTCTTACAAAACACACACCCCGATTTTATGTCGGAGCCCTGACAAGCGGCATCCCGGGGTGGGTGGTTGGGGGTGAGGAGGGGGGGGATTGTATCAAAGCTCCGCGGATACCTCCGGGGAGCATCGAGTCAGCGGGGCCAGAGAGGGAGCGCCCTGCCGGGCCCCCGAAAGCCGACATGCCGCGGAGAAAGCAGGAGAGCGCCTCGGCGCGCAGCAGGTACGGACCGGCTTTGGCTCCCATGCATTTGACCTTTCTCTCTCACCCTCTCTCTGTTTTGACCCCCCCCCCCCCTCTCCCCACAAACCTCCCTCTGAACACAACTTTTATTTTGCCCTAAAATAGTAGACATATCTCTATAATTCCTTTCTTGATTCCTCACGTTGTTATCAGTGGAAGTCTAATATCAGCCCATACCTCTGTGTTTACTCATAGTCCGTTGTTGACAGAAAGACCTTAAACTTTGTTTTGAAGTGTTGGTAAACAAAGTCGTTTCCTTGCGTTGAGTTGATCAATCGTTCAACAGAAATAAATTATTCGTCTCTCATTTTTTGAGTCAAATGTCGAACATATGCAGGTGTCCAGCCACTTAAGTAGTATATTAGTAAAAATGAAATAGTCTATTGTGCGTTGCTGTGAATTGAGTCTGGGTGGGTTTTGAACTGCCGTGGTCCGACTGAACCGGACACGCCAGGCTTAAAAGAACCGGGGCTGTTTTTTCCTGATGAGAGCAACGTTAACTGATACGGAGAATATTTTTTATTGTTCTACTTGTTCAATATTTCTTCATTTTTGTCAGGAAAAAAAACGGTTTGGACTTTTTAAAACCAACCGGTAGTTATGGTAGTTATCTTATTGCATCTGAATTAAGGGTCAAAGGTCAGCCTTGGCATAGCGATTTCACTAATCCAAGATAAGAGTGTTTTGCCTCAGAGAACTTGATCGTTCACGGCGTCTCTTTTTCTGTTTTCCCCTTCTTCGCGGCGCCTCCTTCTCTTAGTACAGTTTCAGGGTGGAAGCGAGGATGTGTGTGGGGGTCGGAGGGGGGGCGGCGTAGGGGTCAGCTGGCTGTCGCCGAGGCCTCTGACGCCTTCTGATGTCTTCAGTCGTGTTAAACTCTAAAACAGTCCAAACAGAGTACGGGGAAGCGGACGCGTGTGATCAGTAGCGTTCTGTCATCCCTTAGTCTGGTCTGTGTTTGACTGTCTCCCGGTGATGCCGGTACACCGTCACCTTCTGAAACTTTTGGGACGGCGTTCTGCTTCACAACGTTGGGCTTCAGGGACTTTTTGTTCCTGCTCCCTGGTCGGTACCTTCTATCACTTTGAAACTGAAAAATAGCAACTTCTCTGAGTTGATGAGCATCCTTGTTTTTTATCCTCACGGTCCCGGCCCGTTTTCTTTCTCTTATTCCCCCTTTTGGTTTCTGGGGAAAAAAAGAATACTTTCCTCCACGTCTAAAGATTATTCACATCCCTGGAGGGGTGAGTGCATAGTGGAAGAGAGCTTTAATGGACAATTGCCATCTTTGATTGGACACTTGATTGATTGCCTGTCGTCTGACCGAGCCTTTGATCTGTTCATTCCCGATAAGTGTCAATAAATCACCCCTCCCTCCCTCCCTCCCTCCCCCTTCCACCTCCTGGCTCTGCCTCCCTCCCTCGCTTGCCTGCTGAAGTCACGTCTGGCCCTCACAAAGTTCTCGCCATTAACACCGTCATTTAATTGCGTTTTTTGTTGTTGTATGTATCCCCCACACATTTTTATTAGCTTTGATTTTTTACCCCCCCCCCACTCACGCCCTCCTCCCCCCTCTCTTCAGACTTGGCGAGGATAATGAACTGCTCTCGGCATTTATTTTATGTTGCCCGTTGAGGACAAGGAAGTCTCATCAGATCATTTACGACGCCGGTAATTTGCGCTCAAGCTCGAATTTGAGCCATTTTCCAACTAAATGTGTGACTGCAGCAAACGTGGTGTTGGAACACTTAATTACAATTCCTGTTTATTACAGGGAATTAGTAATGTTTCATGTACAGCATCTCTTTTTACCTAAAGCACACTCATTTTGCAACTTTGTTTTCACTCTCAAGCCAACCGGGTCTTCGAATGCGCCCACAGCTGAACGGGCACACGCACGTAATTACTGGCATGCGGCGGTGCATGCGGCGGTGCATGCTGGGAGGACATGCTGCCATGATTTCAGAGTGCATATAAACAAGCATGCGATACTTCTCGCCGCACACACACACCTAATCGTGGAAGGGAGACTGCTTTGCTCAATCAGGAGGGCCCGCCCGTCAGAGAGACTTTGTTTCATATTTGATTTAATTGTCTGCCCTCTGACAGCCACATTCATCAATGGCCCTAATGGTCAATCAGAAGCAGGCACACACACATACACACTACACACACTGAGAGAGAGAGAGAGAGAGAGAGAGAGAGAGAGAGTGTTATGTATTCTCAGCCCAGGGCCCTACTTGATCAAAATGCTTTAGCCCTAATGGACACAATGGGTGGGGGTAAAGGAATGGGTTGACGGACAGACGGAGGGACGAACGGATGGATGGATTGATGCACAGCGAGACGACTTTTCATTCAGCCGGAATGAGCGAGCGAGTGCTCCGGCAGTGGGCGAAGCCAGAGAAAGCGAGGCATTTATTTCCTTGATGCGAGCAAAGGAGAAGTTTCACTTTAGAATATTGGCAGATTCCTGTTTTCTTTTTTGTATGTTTCTTACCCTCCGTTCCTCCTCCTCCTCCCCACATCCCCTACACTCTCCCTCGGTCCCTCCCTCCCGCGCTCGCAGCTGCAAGTTATAAGGTTGAGGGGAACTGCATGGCACACAAAGAGTGATGACAAATTGATTGCGCCGTAGTGATGGCAAGAGTTATGGGAGAATGGCAAATGATAGGCCTTGATTAGGAACTCGCGTGGGGAGGTGGGGGCAGAGCCCAACCCGTTTTTTTTTTTTTTTCATTCTCTTTATGTCACTGGTTCTTTCTATCCGGCACCCATAAAAACGAAGCTAACCTCTGGGGTTTTGCGGTCAAAGATGGCAGACAGATCACGCCGGGCTTCGCTGATTTACTCAACCATTAAATTTGCTAAAACCAACATGAAGCCGTAAATCTAGTTAAAGGTCAGCGTGTTTACCAAGCGGCATTCCTTTTAGATCTGCTTAGTTGGAGTCTCTCATGTGGTCGTAATTGGTCGGCATGCTTAGACGCACTCCAACATGGCGTCACACACCGCCAGCTCTCTGTAGGGCACAAGCAGAAAGACGTAAGCCACTTATTCTACGTCACACGTCCGTCTCCACCCTTCCTGTGTAGTGGTCCCCGTACATTCCCCTCGTCTCTGCGAACCTCCAAGCGCAAACACACACACGCGCCAACACACTTCCAACGGTGTGCATTCAGCCGTCTGAAAAGAGGAGTTGTTTTGCCAGCTTCATTAGCGTTCTCCTAATTAGCCGGAGCATCTGATGGATCTCTTGACGGGCCTAATGATTGGAGATGACAAGCTCAGCACACTGTCACGCTCGCCAATTAGGGTCCATGGCGTAGTTGGATGTAATCAACTTGATCTTACACTGTCCTCATTTGCCCCCGCCCCCCACCTCCCCCCATTCACGACTCCCCCCTTTTTTTCGCGGCATAACAGGTGAAGGCTTTGGATGGCGTTGCCTTTGTTTGAGCGCGATCCGTCACCTGGCCCGGGTGGGACGCCAACGCAGGTCACTCCTATAATTAGCATTGAGGATTGTTGAGGCAGAAGGTCTTACGCAAGCCCACGCCGGCTCGTCCACCTACGCCAACGTTTCAGACCAAAGGGTGTTTATTTGATCAGAAGAAAAAGGACAAAGCTCAGGCGAGCGGCAAGCTTTTTGTCCGTGCACTTCAGAGGGCAAGACAAAACAGATCATTGTTAAGGGACAGGAAGCTTCCCCGTCCAGTGTATTTGTTCACCTGTGTGGCTGTTTTTTTACAACTCCAAAATCCTACATCCTCACATGTGCAACTGCACATCTATTGTTTCTGTTTGGGTCATTTGAAACGAAGGATGCAGGAGCAGCTGCATGGTGTTAACATAACATAGTGTGTGTGTGTGTGTGTGTGTGTGTGTGTGTGTGTGTGTGTGCATTGTTCTCCTGAGAGCCCCCTTCTGCAGATTGATGACGTTGACACCGGTCATTATTAGCTACTCAATGACACTTTCCCCGAGCGGGAGGATTTTTCAACCCCCAGCGTTGATTTTTTTCCACCGATCATCAGCGTGGTGTCCAAAGAGGCTAAGCATGATTTATGTAAATATTAACATCAAGACAGATCTGGTTCTGTCCAACCGGGGATAGATAGCAGCCGAGGAGGGAAACGCAGCTGATTTCTGGGATTTCGCTGCCTCTCCGCGTGTGTCTGTGATTGATTGTAGATGAGAGCGAGAGATTAATCATGCTTGATGTGTGTTAACGTTGCACTCGCGGTGGATCTAAGTCGAGATGCAGTGGCCCATTTAAATATACTCACTCACACACACGCACACACACACACTCACAGGAGGGAGCGAGGCACACTCGCACGTACTCACCACGCAGGCGAACACACACACACACACACACACACACACACACACTGTCTAAATGTGAATGGCATTTTGCGGTTCAAGGACACACGTTACATGAGAGCTGATGTTTGTGAGAGACAAATGATAATAATATTCTGGCACCGTGTGTCCATCCGTAATGAAACATGGCAACATAATAAAGCCCATTAACCTTGTTTCAAATATCTTGATAATTGCGTTAATGATTAAGAGGGTGACAAAGGATTCTTTAAAAACAACAGCGTTCACGCAGCCCTTTCTTCATGCCACTATTAGCAACAATGTAGTCTCAGGAATGATCAAATAGTATTATATGGTATATTTAGAGGATGCATGCCCTTTACGTTGTTGTCATCAACAA